CCTCTTCCTCCTCCATTAGAAAGGAAGAGAGACAGACAGACAGAGACAGAGACCCTAGCCACCGCCGCCTCCTCCTCCTCCCTGGAGCAGCAAAGTAAATCAACTCTTTGAGTCCATTCTACGACACATTTATGTATATAAAACATTTTACGTTTTCATCACAAATTTTAACTTGGAGAGTGGAAGAAAGAAAAGTAGTGTTCGGAAGAAACTTACTCCACTTACACATTACATCCAGCTTCCCCTGGATATACTTTGAGATCCCAAAGTAAAGACATTGTATGGAATTTTTCACGAACACGAATTGATTTTTAACCAATAGGGTATTAGTCAAATGTGAGGCCTTCTAGTTTGACTTAATCAGTGTTGCTTCTCCTCAATAACATGAAATAGTAACGGAGATGACGTGTAAGGTGATACTTCACCCCACTGTGTTTATAGAAAAACCTTTCAAAGCTTTTATTAGAAACAAATAGAAAATGCAGTTTAATATTTCTATGACTACTTTTCACCAGAAATACTTACTTAACTAAACTTGATCAATTTATAGTAGACTTCTGTTTATTAATGCTGAGTCATAGATTCATCAGTGAAACAAAATAATAGAATTTAAATGTTGAAAACAACAGGAGTGTCTCCAGAATTACACACTGGCATGTTTTCAGAAAGTAATTTTACCTTGTTCTATAGATGCAGAGTACGATTCGAGAACACAGAGATGGCGGTAATGCTGGCGGCATCTTCAACAGATACAACGTCATCCGAGTAAGTTTTTAAAATTTTAGGGTGAAAATTAGACCACACAGCTTGCCTGAAACTCAAACACAGGCTAGATCTGCTGGTATTGGTGACGCAAATACGGTGCTAAGACTGCCAGTTCACCCAGAGATTTGGACCACAGCCGACAGTGATTTCTGTTGTCACCATTTCCAAGTAGCATTAAAGGCCTGGGTTTTCCAACTAATTGAGTCAGGGATTTCTGTCAGAATGTATCTCTTAATCTTCTTATTTCAGACATGGAATAAGTGACCGCTGCTGTGTGCTTTTTTCAAAGGGGTGTCATGAAGATGAATAAAATCTGTTGAGAACTGGCTTAGCCCTTTGGGTAGTTGGTCCTCTGGAAGTCACACCAGTGCCCATCAGAATTACCTGGGGAGCTTTTTGAAAAGTACAGATTCCTCAAATTCAATAAGTCCTCAGATGATTTTTGAGGTGGAGCTAGGTCTGCTGCAGAAAACAAAAACCCTAACTGAAAATTCTGTCACTAAAAGCCAGATTAGTAACTGAATGACACTCACCTGCAACTTTGTCATTTTTAAATAATGTTTTAAACAAAAGAAACAAAAATTGAAACTTTCTAAAGGAAAACACTTTATTTTAAATCATACTGCCAATTAATATACATCTCACTAATTTGCTTCTTTCTTTCTCATCCTCAAAGATTCAAAAAGTTGTCAACAAGAAGTTGCGAGAACGATTCTGTCACAGACAAAAGGAGGTGTCTGAGGAGAATCACAATCACCACAACGAGCGCATGTTGTTTCACGGTGAGCATCACGGTCCCTCTGGGTCTGGGCTTTTCAAACTCGGGTAAGGCGAAAGCCTATGTTATTAGCTGTATCAGTGTTATGTTAAAAATGGTTTGTTTTGATTTGTTTCAATTATATGTTGGGTACCATTACATGTTGGTATGGGCTTTCCAGGGCATGTACAATGAAAATAACTTTTCTGAAATTGTTTCAGTTTATCTTCATATCTATTTTTGCTTAAAGTAAGATTCGATGTAAAATAACCTGTATTTTCAAAGCCACATTGTACTTTGCTGTCTTAAACCTCATGCCATCTGCAAAGTCCATAAAACTTCCTTGCTTGGAGAATACCGTGGGTGTCTGATAAGATTCTAGTTCATGCTAATAATGTCTGTGTAGAAGGCCATCTTAAAAAATCAACTTTTCATTGGGGCATAGTTTATATTAATTTTCCCAGTGCAAATAGTATGTAGCTAATGAGATTCTAGAAAAGGGCTCAAAATGAATATTTCTTTATATTGTAGGTTCTCCTTTCATTAATGCCATTATTCATAAAGGGTTTGATGAGCGACATGCGTACATAGGAGGAATGTTTGGTGCCGGGATTTATTTTGCAGAAAACTCCTCTAAAAGCAACCAGTATGTTTATGGAATTGGTGGAGGAACAGGCTGCCCCACACACAAAGATCGGTCATGTTACATATGTCACAGGTGAGCATCTTGCCTTTTGTGTAATGGTTGCTGTCCTCAGGTCATGACCTAGGTGAGTTTCTCAGGCTCTGCAGAAGTCACAGGTTAGCCTCAGGCTTACTCCTAATGGGTCATACTGTTAGGGGGTCAGATAGGAATAGCTCATCAGACCCTGCCCTAATAGGAGTAATGACAGCAGAGCTGACAGCAGTGGTGGGGAAAGCCAGCTGCCAGCCCGTCACAGATTACAGCGAAGCTCCCTCCACCTCCACTTTCTCCCTGGGCTCTACTCGCCTTGCTTCGAATTCAGAACAAAGTTGAGAATTATTTCTGTAGCACAAAGTACCTCTAGCTCTAACCACATTTGAACTAAAACACAAAACTATAAACAAGCAGAATTGTTAATTTGCTTCTGATATTGCTAGTTATGATTTAAGGCAGGGTATATAATTAGCCTTGTGAAGTCCAACTTCAGAATATTAACTATGAAATTAAATAGTAAACAAATGAGTAAATACAAAAGAATTGTGCTTTACAAAGTTTGCAGTTTTTCACACTTCTCTTTAAGTTAACCAGATGCATTATGATTGCAAAGTCACATTAATAAGATACCTTATAATTCACTTGAAACCTCAAAAAGATCCGTAACCTTGAAATTCATTATAGTTGTTGACCTTAAAACTTACCTCTCAGTTATGTTATGAAAAAAACTAGCCATCAGCAGTCCGAGGACAGATGCCCTATATCCAGAAGAAAACTTCATCCTCTTAAGGTCACTGGGGTTAAAAGCACATAAAAATTCCCAGCAGTATATAACATGCAGAAATTTCCTTTATTGCTTCAAACCAAACTCCTAAATAAGCAATAAAAGTGAATCTACATGAGGATTACCAGTTGCTCATAAAAATTAAGACACATCTTGTCCAGGGTTTCCTAGCAAACAGAACCTGAAGCGGAGGTATATGTACTAGCACTTCCTTGGCAAGTACAGCCTCAAGGAAGCAGGAGTGACAGCACAGAAAGGAGGTAGAGAGAGAGGCCGAGCAAAGAGGAGCTGCCTCAGTGCCGCTGGTTGCTCAGTCCGTGGGACGTGGGCTCACACAGTCTGAACTACTGTGTCTCAGAGCAGTACATCTTGGGAGGGGAGAGGTGGATTTCCCTGCTGGCTCCTGTCTCGCACTGCTCAGCATTTACCCCGAAGGGCATCGGTATCCCGCCCTGGGGCTGCTGCATCTGCAAGCCCTGAGCCAGTACAGGCCCATGCGCCAGCTAGGCGGGGCCCGCATCTTCCCCCGTCTCCACAGCCGCGGGGAGCCCTGGGGCAGGAAGCAGACGGCAGGAAGCGAGAGCCTGTGAGGTCCAGCTTTGTGTGACCGACTGGACACTGGGAGTAGCCGTGCCAGTGGGCCTGGCTGGCTGAGTGGGCAGAGGCCCGTGACACCACAGTGCTGCACGATGTGAAAACAGAGCTCAAAAAGCTTCCTTCTAATGCAGAGCAAAACCTTTTCCTCTAGGAACTACAAGAAAATACAGCTGATGCCAAGCCAGCATCCCAGAGGGTCAGCAGTAGCAAGCATCACACTGAAAAAGCCAGCCAGGCAGGACCCAGTTACACTGGGCCTGGCACAATGTTGACTCAAAATCTCTGATTAGTCATAGTGCAAAGATCATACTCCATTGCTGAAAACAAGCTGTCTGATCGAATAACTGTTTAAGATTAAAGGTTAAAATGTTTACTGAAATGTTAAAATGTTTATTAAGGGTTTACAAACTTTTATTTTAAAGGGCCACATAGTAAATATGGTAGGCTTTGCAGTTGTATGATCCCTGTCGCACTGACCCGGCTCTGCCCTTGGAGTGCAGGAGCCACAGACAACGTATAAATGAGCGTGTGGCTGTGTTCCAGTGAAGTTTTATTTATAAAAACAGGTGGCAGACTAGATTTGGCCCATAGTTTGCCAACCTTTAGTTTATATAATACACTTTCTTCCCAAATCAATCTTTCTTTTTACCTATCAGTATTTAACAACTGCCCAATTCATGCTTCACTCAGGTAGGATAACTTTCAGTCATGCATTTAAGTTTTTAACCCACTTCCACTATTTCTCTCATTTGAGTCTTTACTTCTTCATAATGAGTAAACTCAATGTTAATTTCAGGTGCTGCAGCCATCTGCTTACTTTCTTCACTTTCTTCCTATCCATCCTCACCCCTCCTTCCAGAACTGTTTTCACTAGTGTTTGTCTTTTTCCACTAGTCAGAACTTGCCAGATGTTTTCTGTGACTGATTTCTAAACCACACCAAAACCACTCTAAACTTACACTTTAAGTATTGAGCCTGCTAATATCAAATCTCATCCCATTCCTACTCACAAAACCCAAAGTGACGTTTAAAGTAGCTCGCCTTGTGTCAGCTATTTTAAAAAGCAGATAAACCTACCTGTCACATCATTCTGGGATTTAAAACCTCCACCAAAGCATTGCTTTCCTTTTTTCTTTTTCCAGACAAATGCTTTTCTGTAGAGTGACCCTTGGCAAGTCCTTTCTGCAGTTCAGCACCATGAAAATGGCTCACGCTCCCCCAGGCCATCACTCCGTCATTGGGAGACCGAGTGTGAATGGGCTGGCGTATGCTGAGTATGTCATCTACAGAGGAGAGCAGGTATGGTACTGGTCACATCGCTGATCAGAAAAACCTGTATAACACGATGTTTGTCACAGTCTTATCATAGTGAAAAATGTAAACCTAAATATTCAACAAAAAGAATGATTAAATGAATGTTAATATATTCATGTGCCTGTGATTTTAAACATTTACTTGGTATATGCGAAACACAGCATCAGCCAAACCATAAGAGCAGTTATCTCCGGGGATTGAGATCACAGATGATTTCAGTCTTACCTACTAGACACTTGTCGAGGTTTTCTAAATTACTGGTGGGAAATAGCATTTCTTTCATATTTGGGTGGAAAGAAACAAGGGATATAAATAATAGGTTTACTGATCATTCAACCATTTCCCAAGTAATTTGACTTGATAACTTGTTTAGTTTCCTGCTAACAAAACTTGAAGAATGAGGTGGTCCAAATCTTGAAAGAAAAAAGTACCTTGAGAACTGAGCAGAAGTTGTTTGGTTTCGGGGAGCTCACCTGTGCTTCCGGAGCCAGCGCCCGCGCACGTGGGCGGCGGTACCCGTGGTGCCCGCTGCCTGAGCCCTTTCCCATGCGCGCTTTCTCCTGATTTACGGTGGAGTGTTCCTTTGCTAACTCTTACTTCATTCCCCTTAGTTATACCTTAAAACATCCAAAGAAAAGAGTATGAGTAATAATGGTTCCTTACGTGAATGGGAACAATTTTAAGTTTTCAGAGCATACTTACACTTCTTTGTCTTTTTATCCTTGTTGAGACCTCTTCACATGGAATTAGTCTTTAATGAATGATAATAGTAACCTTAATGGTAATAACTAACACAAACTAGATTCTTACCACGCCAAACCTATTCTAAGATCTTTGTATTTAATGCTCACAGAAATCTTGGTATTATTACTGTTCCCATTTATAGATGAGGAAAGTGGAGGCACCAGACATAAACAGTTTCTACCTCTTAAGATCCTAGGTCTAAAATTATAAAGAAATAATTCAATAAATTTATCACATGTTTATTTCTGCATTTTAAGTATTAAACAAACAGCCCTCCTTTTATCCTTCATTCTTTTTATTATCATTCTCTGTATCTATATGCAGTTAATTTGTAGGTCATTATTCAACAATTATTTGGCAGCCCCAAAACACTTACCTCACCAGAGAACACTATTTTCAGCCAGAGACCAGGCTGAAATTCTGAGTCTAGTGTTACCATGCTGTTATAGTTAGGGTTGAAGAATCCCTGTGTAGTACACGTGGCTTCCACTCCCCACCCCCTTCCAGTTGTCTGTGTGGCGATTGTCAGTTCAGGTTTGTGACACTTCCTAGTCAGGCTTCCTCTTCCTGCTCCTGTTGAGAAGTGCTCTTCCCACTCCAGGCACGGAGCTTGGGTTTCACATACCACAAGAAGTGACAAAAAAGGAGGAGAGAATAGAGCGGGCAGAGTTGCTTCCCCTAAGCTATTCTCTTTCCTGTAAAGGTTGCCTTTAACTGGTCAACTTTTTAAAGTTACCTCCAAACTGTTGCCTCTAAGTTATCAGTGACCCAGCACACCTCGCCCTTCCTCCTCCTAGCTCAGTGGGTTACATCATCTAGGATTAATCTGAATTCAGTCAATTATTCTCTCATTTAACGAACTTTTATTGAAACATGCTTTGTGACAGCACTCTGCCAGGTAAGGTGAGAAAGATTTTCTCTTGCCTTAGTTTTCCTGTCTATGGCATGTGGCTCTCTAATGAGGGATAAATGTAATGTAAGCAATTAACACTATTCAAAGTAGAAATAATATAACAGTTCTAGAATTACAGGATTTGTGCATGTTTATATACGGACATGGAGGTGGACCTCCTCAGTGTCAAGGTACCTGTGACTTGGCTGGGAGCCTCAGAGGGCTGTGCAGACTTCAGTCACAGCTCCTGAGGCGCTCACGTTAAGTGGGGCTTTAGTATCTTACCGGCCAGAATGGTGACGTGTTTTTCTTCTGGTCGTCTCCAGGCGTACCCAGAGTATCTCATCACGTACCAGATCATGAAGCCAGAAGCGCCCTCACAGACCGCAACAGCCGCAGAGCAGAAGACCTAGTGACTGCCCAGTGGTAGAGACCAGATCAGAGTTAATCCTGGGACTGGATTACAGTGGATTGTTTTCAACAAAATCAATATTCTATAAATCCCTGACAGCCTAGAAATAAGCTGTTTGTCTTTATGAAGCATTGCTATAGTGATGGATCTAGTATGAGTAACTGACACGTACTCAACTGCTACTGTTCCCTTTGCGGAAATGTTTACAGGGGCGGCCTCTGACCATATCTCAGGCTCATTCTCTTTGCAGTTACCATTTCTACAACAGGATCGCTTTGATCGAGACTTGGAAAAGGAAAAAATGTAACACTTTTACCAAATGTTCACAATTCACACACTACATTTGCTGTGATACATATGGCATGTGTGTACAATAACTATACACGCTCAACAGTTGCATTTCTAGTTTTTTGAACATGCATCATTCACTTTTTTTTTTTTTTTTTTTGGTGGTGGTGGTTGCTTTCTTTGAAAATGAGCCAGAGCCTTCTTGAGAATATTTTGCACAAAGTCATACTGACTAAAATCGCTAGCAATGTAACCCAAGCTTCTGGCTGAGCAAGATTTAGTTTCCTTTTTTTTCTTCACGGATTTATTTTGTATCTGTGCTTCTTATCAGCGTAAACTTCGTTTTAGTTTCCTTTTATTGATTGGCCAGTCTTAAAGGGACAGGCACAAACATCAGCTGGATTCAGGAGCTCCAGGGTTCAGAGCAGTCGGAGCCGGGGAGAACCACTGGCCCTCTCCAGCCCAGGCCTGCTTTCAAGGAGTCCGGGTTGGTGCTGGAGGTCTAGGAAGAGCCCCGCTGGGGAGAGGTTTGAGTGATGCTGTTGTGACACTGAGAGGGGAATCCACCAGGGAGGCCTACGAATTCAGGAGAAGCAACATTAAGATGTGAGGGGCATGTGGTTCTCTTAAGACCGCAGCAGAGAAGGACTACGAGGACTCAAGGGAAACTTCCCCTCACTTGATCCGTACCACCAGAGTTGTCACACCCCCCCCCACTCCAAATTAACTGCCTTACTTCCAAATTCAGTGGAATTATTATATGTCATTAGAGTCACACAAATATTGCTTTATGGTTTCTAGTTCAAATCCTGCTAGAAATGCATAAATGCAGGAACTTTTTCGTTGACTCCAGATTTGGGGTTTGAGTGAGGTGCTTCAGATAGTTTATTTCGGTCCCTGCACAACCTGCACTAAAGATTGAACATTTTTCTTTTCTTCAGACTTCATAATAGACAAGAACAAAAACTGAAACCAGAGTTCTTTCAGTTATTTTTTTGAATGAAGCTGGAGAAATAGCCATGCGGTTTCTTTGTGAATCACTACTTTGTTTTACTAGTTTTACTCAACATTCGTCAAGTGCACGTTGACACTTGTAAAACATTATCACAGTCCCTGCACTTGTCTTTTACCTTAGCTGCATATTGAAATGATACATTAACTTCTCTGCTTTGACGTCTGTGCACCTACTCAGCTTGGAAGCAAAAGTAACAAACGTGGTGGAAAAAGGAAAAGCAGTGTGACGCTAACTTGCTTGTTCAACTTAAAGTCCTGAAAACGAATTTGTTTTTTAGTGCAGGCTGGTTAAGCTGTGACTTCATTTTCTCCTAAAGAAAAATAAAATGGTTACATGCAAAGATTTTAGAATACGCTCTTAAAAATACATATTTTGCTTTCTTTTGGGCTTGAGTCCAATGCTAGAACTAGGCCTTGAGAACTAGTTTTGAGTTTTATAGCTGAATCTTGCATGGGTCCTCAAAGTTAAATCAAGAATTAGCCTCAAGAATTGCTTCTATTGAAGTTTTAGTGACCCACGCTGGGTGTTCGTGTCTTGGCTGCTTGTTTAAATAGCACTAAAATTCCACATGAAGCTTCCAAGTTCAATGTTCATTAAGAAGGCTTTTTCCCTCTCTTCTTTTTTGCTGTGGGTAACAATGGGGTGAGGGAATTGACATCAGTGTAGTTTTCAGTAGCTGTGACAGTGTTTATTACTTGCCTCCCCTATTAGATATACTTTCAAATGGTGAACACAGCTGTGATTTTTTTTTTTTTTAGTTAAGTAAAAGGGTTAATACGGTATAAATATTGAAAGCTTTATATCTTCGTTAAAGCCACTACCTGACTATGGTTATACGTCATTTCCATCCTACTAACCAGGTTACTGGATGTGCCAGTTTTAAACTTCAGCCTTACACTTGAGAAGTTAAACTGTGGTTCAGTATTTAAACGGCCCCTGTTATGTATCCAATGTTCCATGTGCTGAGTAAAGGTACTGTGTGAGGGAGACATTTGCTGCGCTTCTCGTCTTGTAATGATTCAAATATATAGTTGTTCTTGACAGAATGTGTACATATTATTCATCTGCTCAAGAGACTGGGTTAAGTACATTTTTTCAAAACTTGAAAACCAAAGGTCATCATGAGTACATTCAAGTTAGCAAAAGTTGATTGCATTTGGAATTTCCACCTACAGCAGTGTGAAAAACCCTTTGGAGTATAAAAGCATGGCATTAAATTAGTCTGAAATCCATTGAATCCCTTGTATACACACTAGACAGAACACTCGCAAGCTGAGGACCTCAGTATGGCCTCCCCTGAAATGGCCCGTTTGCCAAACCTTAAAGAAAGAATCCAGAACCTCCACCTGCTCTACCACAGTTCCCACAGCAAAGGGCTTCCAGACCTGATGGTCCAGTTTACTAGGTGTTGGCCAGCTGGATACTTGATTCAGGCCTAAGTGCTCTGGACTAGACACTTACTCCTACTTGGCCTCCCTCCCTTTCCCCCAGATTGCGAGTCTAGAATTATAATTAGCTCCAACCATTACCTTTGAGCCCACTCGTTTTCCTTTCTTCATCTTGGGTCTTGCGCAACGGAACTAGACATCTCTGATTCCACATCACAACGTGAACTGGGTATCAGGCCTCATGTTCTCTGCTCAGAAGATTCTGCCACTTTTTAGCAAATGACAGCATGCAACCCAGTTTTAATTCTATGCAAAATAATAGCAGTACCACCAGGATTCTTCCTTACGTGTTCCTTCTTGGAATTCGGAATATCTAGCTCTTCAATAATATAAGTAGAGTAAACAATATTAGGATGTTTTTGTGAAAGAGCATCCTTGTGCTCGTTTGAGCTTGACGTTAGTGGCTATACTCATTTCCCTTTGCTCTCAAAATAGCAAAGTGCATTGATACATGCAGAGAAATGCCTGAATGTGGCAAATAAAGTAATACAGATTGTATCATAGCCTTGATACAAAAAATAAAATGTTGGTGTATGCTGGAAGACAGCATTAGAATCCAATAAGGTGTCCATGTTTTCTGTTTCAGTCCATCTCCCAGCTGCACCGACGTTACTGGCCATTGCTTGCTGTCTGTTTTAAACACGTGCACCCTCTGGGTTCCTGTGAATGCTTTCAAACAGAAATAGTGTGTGCTTTTAAGCACCTTCCCCCTAGTGTGTCCAGATCCATTGGTTTGATGATCTGTGATAAAACAGCCTTTTTTCTGTTTTTTTCTGTTGGGCAATTATCTTGCGTAGAGCTATAGATTTTAGTCATTAAGGCAGCTCTCAAAACTGAGATTAAATTTCTAACATTAAAACCCTTCTTAAAGACTGACGTTAAACTTGTTTGATATCAAATCAGTGACAAAAAGTAATTGTGAAGATAGTACTTCAGCTTTGGTTAGATACATCTAGCATGTGAAAAGGAAATGCATTAAAAAAAAAAAAAACCCTAAAAAGTGAAGCTTATTCAGATACCTTATGCGTTTGGAGACTAACAGACAATTAAATGTTTCTTAGGAAAGTCTTAACCAAGGCAGAAACTTTTCAGTCTTTTATATCCTAATAAACAGAACTATAATTCCATTTCTTAGTGTTTGAAAGGTGTCAGTGAGTTGGCTGTATCTCCATGTATTTCACACCTCGTAAGCTTATTTAGTGAGTATATTTCATAAGTAATGAATGCTCCCTTACATGCAAAGGAGCTGATATAGTCAATCCATTCCAATTTCTCCACATCCAGAATTACTCAGCTCCAAAGCTGCTAGTTTAGAGAAATGCTAGAAAGATTCCAAAACCTATTAAGTTTTGTGCATGTGAGGATACAGCGACAACTCATAAAGTGATACCATGTAGAATTTGAGTGTTGCACGAGCTGTTTTTTCATCATTTTAAAATATAAACCATGGTGATAAGTTAAAAGTAATAGGAAGCTAAAGACTTTATATACTCTCTAAGACCAAATATGCTCACGGTGTGACCGGTTTTAAACATCTGCCAGAGAGTTCTGCCTCCTTGAAATAACATTCACATGGTAGAGATGATTGCACTTGATTAGTCATTCTTTCCCATTTTCTTTTCTGCTTTACACTTCTGTATCTCCACACCCTCCCCACCACCTGTCTTTTGAAACAGATTTCTCATGCTCCAGAATCCAGAGTGCTTTGTTATTTTTCATCTGTCTGCCCTTTTCTGCAGGCAGCCCTGAAAACCCCTTGTTGATTCAGAGTGTTTGCTGAGAAATGCATGAACTCCAGTAGTGGGGTGTCCCTCACCCACGCCCAGGCCCCTCCCAAGGGTCAAGACAAAAAGGTAGAAAACCCAACAATACAGATTAGAAAGGAATCAAAATCTCTGAAGCTAATAGCCTGGACCTAGAAGATGACCTTGACTATATCACCATCGTATTCATTACACAAAATATGTGCACATAATACCTGCTTCCGCTTCCATTGTTCCAAGCTCATCCTGTCTTTGTGGTAGAAGTATTTGTCTTTGATACCTGCAAACTAAAAAGGTACGTTCATCAACGAGGTTTCTCAAAAACATTTACCAAGCCAGCTTTGAGGAAATCTGGAATGTTTCCTGGCAGCAACATTTGGAGTAGTAACTGTATTTTCTCATTGTGATGTTGGTTTGTGTACATAACCGATGTAGTGACTGGTTCATTACTGGTGTTTTTATCTGTGGTCTCTCTATGGCTCACCAGTGGCAGGGGGTTCCAATCCCTTCCCCGTTCTTTTGGCATTTGTCTATTTGTAGAATTGCCAGATAGAATACAACACACCCAGTTAAATCTGAATTTCAAATAATTTTTTTTTTGCTTAAATGTGGTTCATGTGTTATTTGGCATATCTTTACTGTAAAAAAAAAAGTATTCATCATTTATCTGAAATTCAAACGTAGCTGAACATCCTGGGGTTCTTTGCTTTGTTTTGTTTTATTTTACTAAATCTGGCAACTGTATCAAATTTGGTCATGGAAAATCACTTACAGCATGGAAATTCTTCTAGCCTTCAGTCTCTTTTAAGACCTTTTTTCCCTCACCCTCTACTTTACAGAAGAGGGCATCAGGGAACTCAACCTGCCTGCACGGTGGGTTTCTATTTAAGACATCTTCATGATTATACTTAACCTGTAATTGTGCTTTGGCTCAATGTCTAACTGACAGTACTTGTAATTGTTTAATATTCAATAAAAACATTTTTAAAGTATGCTATGTGTGCTTAGCAGTTAGCTCGGAAGTGTTTTCGTTTCCCTGTTTGTTCCTTTCAACGTGACCAACCTTAACCTGACTGACCTAAACCTGCCGGAACACAAAGAACAGCTCTCCCTCTGGTCTTCCCGGTGGGGCCTGGGTGAGGGGCCTTAGCCTCACCTCTTGGCCCACGAGGGAGTTACTGACGTACAGCAAGGGCGGGAGAAGCCCAGCGTCCTTTTGGAAATCTCTGCAACTGCAAGGAAGGGACACAGGCTTTGGAGGCCCACCCAACCCCCGCTCCCAGGCCAGCAAACTTTACTGTTAAGAGGCTCCGTCCTCCTACCATGGTAGCGGTGGGGGTGGGGGGTCTGGAACACCTCCCTCTTGAAATGGTCCTGCCTTGGTTACTGTGACTCAGGTTAGAGGCAGCACACCCTATTAATAGCACTTGTGAACCTTTATCATGGGGCACGGCTTGCTCACTATTTTATAGTCACAAGACAGTACAGTGGGCCTCCAAGCTGAAGAAGCACCTGGCATTATATAGGGAATAATAAAAGGTCATCTCTTCCCATTAAGTCGGGACCTGGCTTTCAGAATTGCTGTTGACCACCTACTCTGAAGACCTGGACCCAGAGAGAGTGCAAGTGGACGAAGGTGGCCTCACTCACCAACCTCCACCGTCCTAGTGCTCACAAAACATCTCTGCCGACAAGACAGTGTGGAGGTGAAGTGTGCATTTTGTTATTACGATACTTGGCGTACTTTACCTGGCCAAGGACAGATTTGAAAAGTAAGTCTAATTCATCCCTACTTTCATAATTCTGCTTACAAAGCAGGCGCCTGTGATACAAAGCATGCGTAGAAGATAACCGCGGACGCACGCCCGCGGCGGTGTGACAGGGCTGGAGCCCCAGTCAGGAAGCCGGGGCCGCGCACCGTGAACTGCTTCACAACTTAGGAAATTATCTGGGGGCTCTGTGTCTCTACTCTTCTACTTACCAAGGGGGGATACTCTCTGCCAAATAATTATTTAATAGGAATATTTGGAAGATAATACAAGTCGCACGCTCTTAGGCTCCTAGGAGAAAATACAAGTGTAAGGACGAGAAATTGAGGTGACAGGTAGTCTGTCGGTGCAGCAAGTTTGCTGAAAAGACTGCAGAGGATGAAGACGCCCGCGGGCTCCGCCACGCCCTACCACCTGACCTACCACATGACCGTGGGAGGTCCTTCCCCTCCCAGTGCCTCAGTCAGCGCATCAATAATGACGAGTATCCTACTAGCACTACTGCTAGTTCACAGAGTTGCTGTGGAAGAAAACAGCATTTTCTGCTGGGCCGGAACCCAAGTACCACAGAGCGGACCTGGACCTCAAACACACACAGTGCGCAGCTGCCAAGGCCCACTCCGGTTAACCAGTTCTCCGAAGGCCAGGACTTAAGAACAGACTACGTTGCTGGCGTATTTCAAAATGGTGCCTTTCTCTTCCTGCCAGAAGCACAAGATACTTTTTCTTCAGTATTTACTGTGGGAACCTATTTGAGCTGGAAATCAGTCTCACAAAACTGCAGTGGCCCCTATGACTGGGGTCCCCTGGGGTTTTGAATTCAGTATTGTCCACATGGAGCCTCCAGCAATTCGTCAATTACAGTTCTTGTTTTCCTACCCCCCTCCTCTGGTTCCCATAGCAACTTCCAATCAGAAGTCTCTGCTCTGGTAAATTGTTATTTTCCAAGTATTTTCAGTACTTGCCTGTCAATCTCTCCAGTCAGGGAACAGCAGTTTCCCTGTATCCTCACTTCCCTTACATATCCTAGAAGAGCTGATTTTCCAGTCTGTGCCATGTTTTATGTGTTGTTAGGAGAGGCACCTCACCTTTGGTGCAGAACTGGAAACCCCACAATGACTTTTTAAAATACAACAGCAAAGGTGTGATCTATGAAAGAAGGAAATGGATTAACTAAAAATTCATTAAAATTAAAAACTGTTCTGCAAAAGGTACTGGGTAGAGGACTCAGTATGAAGCATATGAACAATCAGAGTGAAAAGCAGGCCAAAGATCTGAACAGGCACCTTGTAACCGAGAAGGACCCTGTGGGGCCTCCCTGGGGCAGACACTTCCCCCTTCCCCCTTATCCTCTGCTTTAGTGCCTCTCTGAAGTATGATCAAAGAAATTTTCACATCTCGAGATACAGGGAAGTCATTCCAGCTTATACATGGGTTAACTTGAATTTTATGCTAACTAAAGAGCCTCTTTGCGGCCTATAAAGTATACACTGAATATTTGCTTTGATTATTTAAAAAAAGGAGCACACTGACCAGAAGTAAAGAGTGTCCATGTTAAAAATAACGATTAAATGAAAATGCGGAGTGGTGGGACCACGAGCTTGCCTCTCATGACTACAAAATCACAACTGACTGCTAAACAACCATTGAAAAAAGACTGGAACCTAGCAAAAAAGATCTTCAACTGGAAGCATAAAGAGGGAACCACAGCAGGAGAGTAGGAGGGGCCTGCCTGCAATATAATCGGGCCCCATACCCCGGGGTGGGGGGCCCACAAGCTGAGGAATAATTGAGTCGCAGAGGCCCTCCCGCAGGAGTGAGTTCTGGGCCCCACGTTGGGCTCCCCAGCCCGGGATTCTGGCATTGGGAGGAGGGGGAGACCTCTGAACATCTGGTTTTGAAAGCCAGTGGGGCTTAACTCAGGAGCCCCACGGGACTGGGAGAAACAGAGACTTCATTTTCTTGGGAAGCGTACACACAGAATCTCAATCTCGCCTGCGCCAGGTCCAAGGGCAGAGGCAGTGATTTCATAGAAACCTGGGCCAGGCCTGCCTGCTGGTTTTGGAAGGTCTCTAGGGGACGTAGAGGATGGCTGCAGCTCACCTAAGGGACATAAAAGCTGGTGGCAGACATTCCAAGAGTGTTCACCCACATGAGCTTTCCTGGAGGCTGGCATATTAGATTAATGATTGGATCATTAGCACCAAGACTCAGCCCCACCCAACAGCCTGTAGAGAAGCCTCAGGCCAAACAACATCCTGGGTGGGAACACAGCCCCACCCATCAGCAGACTTCCTGAGCCACAAACACCTCTAGATGTGGCCCTACCCATTAGAGGTCCAGGACCAAGCTTCACCTAACAGTGGGCAGGCACCAACTCTTCCTGCCAGGAAACCTACATAAGCCTCTAGTCCAGCCTCATCCACCAGGGGCAGATACTAGAAATAAAAAAAACAATAATCCCAAAGCCTGTGGAAGGAATCCACAAACAGATCAGACTCTACCCTGGGACCAGCTGGACCCTGACTGGCCCTTGGGTGACAAGAGAGGAGTGTACTGCTGGAATCTACAGGACATCTCCCACAGAGGGCCACCTCTCCAAGGTCAAGAAATGTAACTAACCTATCTAAAATTACAAATATAAAGATAGACAATGAGGCGGCAGAGATATATCTCTCAGGCCAGGCATAAGATAAAATCCCAGAAGAAATAATTGATCAGGAGACAGGCAATTTAACTGAGATGGCGAAGATGTTCAGAGGAGTATAGATGCACAGAGTGAAGTTTTTAGCAAAGAGTTGGAAAATACAAAGAACACCCAAACAGTTGAAGAATAAAAAATCACTGAAATTAACAAAACACTAGAAGGAACCAAGAAAAGACTAAATGAGCCAGAAGAGCGGATCAATGACCTAGATGACAGATTAGTGGAAATCATTACTGCAGAACAGAAAAAAGAATGAAAAGAAACAAGAATAGTTTAAGAGAACTCTGGGACAACATGAAGTGCACTAATATTTACATTATAGGGGTCCCAGAAAGAGAAGAGAGAGAGAGGAAGAACCTGAGAAAATTTTTGGAGAGAGAATCACTGAAAACTCCCCCAACTTGGGAACACACCAAGATACATAGTAATCAAATTGACAAAAATTAAGGATAAGGAGAAAATATTAAAATTAGCAAGAGAAAAGCAACAAATTACATACAAGGGAACTCCCATAAGGCTATCAGCTGATTTGTCAGCAGAAACTCTACAAGCCAGAAGGGAGTGGCACGATACATTTAAAGTGATGAGAGGGAAAAACTTCCAACCAAGGATACTCTGTCCAGCAAGGCTCTTGTTCAGATTTGATGGAGAAATCAAAAGCTTCACAGATAAACAAAAGCTTAAAGAATTCAGCACCACCAAACCAGCTTTACAACAAATGTTAAAGAACCTTCTCTAGTCATCAAACCATAAGAAAAGAGAACAAAAGAAAGAAAAAAAAACTACGAAAGATTGCTTTGGCAGATCAGAGTCTTTTATGGTTTCATAAAGATTTTGGAATTTTTCGCTATAGTTCTGTGAAGAATGTCATGAGTATTTTGACAGGGGTTGCACTGGATCTGTGGATTGCTTTCGGTAGTGTGGCCATTTTGATAATGTGATTCTTCCAATCCAAGAGCACAAGGTATCTTTCCATTTCTTTGTATCATCTTCAATTTCCTTCATCAATGTTTTATAATTTTTAAGAGTATAGGTAACCTCCTTTGTTAAGTTTACCTCTAGGTATTTTGCTGTTTTTGATGCATTGGAAATGTTTATGCTAGTTACAAAATTCTGGTTGTTAAAGTGGAAAAAAAAAGTGAATGAAGGGCTACAAATGGCCAAATACCCTTCTTTCTTATGGGTGAGTTGTACTCCATTACATATATAGGCTACATCTTCTTTATCCATTCATCTATTGATGTGCACTTAGGATGCTTCCATATCTTGGCAATTATAAATAATGTTGCTGTTAGTAGCAAGGTGTATATATCTTTTTAAATTAATTCTTATTTTGTGGTTGGCTTTATTCCTTTGATAACTATTGTGAACAAAAAATACTGCAAACCATATCAGTAAACAAAGAATGCTGAAGCCATCAAGCCATCAGCGGCTGCCACCACCCCTCAGTGAAGACAAGCCTGCAGCCAGGCCTCTGCAGCCACTCACAAAGGTGCGCTCTGAGGGGACTCTGAAT